TGACCCTGGGACACTGTGACCGTCATAAGTATGAATCAGTTGCCAAGCATCTGAATGTAAATCACAAGACCCTGGAGAGGCTGCAACATTCCAGCTGATCGGCGCATCTTCTGGGCTCAGCGGAAGCGCCAGGATCAGTGCTGCTTTCCAGCTTATTAGTGCTTCTTCAGGGCTCAGCAGAAGCACCAGGATCAGCGCCGAGCTCCAGCTGGAGCCTGGCGCTGATCCTGGAGCTTCCACTGAGCCGACAGCCCCGAAGAAGCACCGATCAGCTGGAAAGCGGCACTGATCCTGGCGCTTCCGCTGAGCCCTGACAGCCCTGCAGCTCCAGCCATCTCTCGCTCAGGCTTGTGCGGTGCTGCCACCGGTTCAGCCCATTCCCCTCCCCCGCTACCACTTTTCTAGGATAGTCGCGTACCACCTGCCAGGTGCCAATGTACCACAGGTGGTACCCGTACCACTGGTTGAAAAGCCCTGTTTTAGAGAGTCGTTGAGGCCACTTGGATGTTTGTCTGTGTCCTCAGGGTCACCTGAGTGGTGGAGATGGGTGTGGAGCCTTCTCACAAAAAAACAAAACAAAAAAACAAAGTCTAGTTGCCTCTTGAAAAAACACCTTTGGGATAACCATAACCTGGATGACTGAGAATCTCCAGACACAGTCACATAACATGTTAAATCTGAACGAACGAAACACAACGGGTGGTGTTCAGATAACACGTTGAGACATAAGCCATACAATGGCTTTGTTCACACATGGTTGGATTGCCTACGATGTATTAAACTGATATATTTCCATCGGCACTTTGACCTAATCTAGAATTTTGTTCAAACCCCACCCAAATATATTACATGTGAAGTTCTAGACCTCAGTCTTATGTTTGCTTTCTTTCAACCAACCCCCTCCAGGTCCTTAGTTGTGTGAACCCTGATAATGTGAACAGCCCTGAGATTCCAGTGAAGATCTTGAACTGTGACACCATCACTCAAGTGAAGGAGAAGTTCCTTGATGCCATCTTCAAGAACGTGCCCTGTTCTCATCGGCCCAAAGCTGCAGATATGGATCTTGGTAAGTTGAGTATCTTCTTAGATCAATAAGAGATGGCCAACCATGGAAGCCATTCATCCATTCATATCACCATGTTGGGTTAGGTCGATGCAGTCAGGATTTCCCATGGGCAAAAAAATGCTCCTTCTTGGGCATTTGGGGGGAAATGACATATCAGAAATTAAAACCTAACCTTAGTTAGGAAAGATGGCTAGATTTAGGGCAATATCAGAGAGAATTGGGAAGATTTTATAGATGGATGGATCCTTTGCAAATTCACATCATGGGAGAAGCTTCTGAAGGAAATAACTGGATTCTTCTGAAGGAGATAACTGGAACCTTCTGAAGGAGATAACTGGAGCCTTCTGAAGGAAATAACTGTATTCTTCTGAAGGAAATAACTGGATTCTTCTGAAGGAAATAACTGGAACCTTCTGAAGGAAATAACTGGAACCTTCTGAAGGAGATAACTGGAACCTTCCGAAGGAGATAACTGGAGCCTTCTGAAGGAAATAACTGGAACCTTCTGAAGGAGATAACTGGAACCTTCTGAAGGAAATAACTGGAGCCTTCTGAAGGAAATAACTGGAAACATCTGAAGGAGATTCTGAACTACTATCAAGTTTTTTTTAGGTTTCCTTCATTCTTAATTCAAGGAGTCAGACGAGAACCGACGTGAGCATCGACCTGTAACTTCGAACGGTCACTAAACAAATGGTTGTAAAACAAGGACTACCTTTGTTTCTAAACCCCTGGATTTACCCCTTACACACACACACACACACACACACACACACACAAAGACAATTTAGCACTGAGGCTCATAGGACTCTATTAACCGTTCAATAGGAAGAGCCGTTGCTGACATCCCTCCTTCACGTGTGTGTGTGTTTGTCTGTGTCCTTGAAACGCGATCGTGCAGCAAGGTCGCTCATGTCAATTTATAGGAGGAGCCCGAAAGACGGTTGGGCACCGAGAGACTCGTTTTGAGCTCCAGACAATTTGAAAAAAAAGAAGTGGTTGGCTGCAATTTGATCGCTGATGTCATGCAGGAGAAGAAGCTAAATTGTCCTCTGTCCTGGCAGAAACCTTGTCCGCCTTCTCTCCCCACCAGAGGAAGGTGAAGGTGGCATCAAAGGCAAAGAGCGATCAAAGTTTACCGTTGTCCCTTCCTCAGTGCAAAGCTAGCGGCCCTTCCTCTAATCCTCGTCTTAAAACAGTGGTTCTCAACCTTTTTAATGCCGTGACCCCAACCAGTCGTAAGTCGAGGACTAAACCAGTCATAAGTCGAGGACTAAACCGGTCGTAAGTCGAGGACTAAACCGGTCGTAAGTCGAGGACTACCCAACCGGTCGTAAGTCGAGGACTTTCCCTGCCCGGGAGCGCCGCGCATGCGTGGTTCCGCCCCCTGCGCCGGCCGAGGCGTAGCTGGCAAGCGGCAGAGACGGAGCAAGCCGACCACCAGCTGGCCCAGCCCAAGGGAGGTAAGGCACCCGCCGGAAAAGGGGGGAAAAATGGCGGACAAAAAAAATGGCGGACAAAAAAAATGGCGGACAGCCTTGCTTGGCGACCCCCATGAAATGGTCGATCGACCCCAAATGGGGTCCCGACCCACAGGTTGAGAACCACAGTCTTAAAACCTTTTTCCCCCGCCATCGTCCCCAAATCTCTTCGGCTCCAGGCTGACTTTGATCGCCCGGTCAATTATTCCGTTCGAGAAGCCAGATTCAAAGATGGTGGTTGGTCTCTTACCATGCAATTCCTTTGCCGGGACCACCGCGGACCAGCTTGGAGGTCCCGCCTGTCATTGCAACTGGGGGGGGGACCTCGCTCGCTTTCTACAAGCCAGCCCAGGGGTCCAAAATGGCCCGTGCATTTTGCCTGAGAGGGTCCTGGGTGCTGTCTGAGCTGGGCGACTTTCTTGCAGATGTTTCATTACCCAGACTAGGTAACATCATCAGTGCTGGAAGGGAGTGAGATTTGGGGGGAGGAGGAGGAGGAGGAGAACTGTGGGATCCTTGGTGCTCTCTGAGCTGGGTGGTTTTCTTGCACACGTTTCATGACCCAGCTAGGAAACATCATCAGTGTTAGGAGGGAATGGAAAGGAGAGAAGGAGAAGGAGAAGGAGAAGGAGAAGGAGAGAGAAAGAAGGAAGGAAGGAAGGAAGGAAGGAAGGAAGGAAGGAAGGAAGGAGGGAGGGAGGGAGGGAGGGAAGGAAGGAAGGAAGGAAGGAAGGA